ATGATTATTTAAAAGCAGAAGTTAGTGATTGTGATTTAAGTTAGTTTTAAGTGCTTATTTCTAAAAGTTGGGGGTGTTTGCAAATATTTCGGAAAATGAACTAAAATTGAAAAAGCAGGGTTAGGCGTGCTTTTAAAAAATAGCTTAAAGCAGATTATTTTAAGAGAAGCAAAAGCAAAAGTTGATTTTGCAAACACCTAAAAACAGATTATGAGCAAAAAAAACCGCATAATCACTTTCAAAAAGCATTTGCAAACACCACCTTAAAATGATAAGACCCCATCGGGTGCACAAAATGTCAACAAATAGAGAGAGAGTCGATGTCATTAAAACGGGTAATTAATTCCCTAATTATTACCATCCCTTAATTAGAAAAGATTATATATCTTTTAATATTAGAATTAAATATACAATTAGGGGTATAATGGTGATAATTAGGTGGTTTTAATTAATAAAAAATATTTTTGGATTTATCTTAAAAATGTAAAATAAAATTGGACTCATTGTAATGATACTTGTGTAATTAGGGGGTTTTGTCAAATTTTCCCATAAATAAAAGGTTTTGGTAATAAAGAAAAAATCACTTGTGTCTGCGACACTGCAACTCTTGAAAATTTGAGATAAAAGTCATCAAATATTTTTTTTGTTCTTTTCTTCTGCTTAATTATGGAGTTAGTATGTAGTTTTCTAGATATTAGTCCACCCATATGGTAAAATAGAATTTGAGGATATACAATAGATGATCGAAGCTTTTGGAAGCAAAATCAGAGGTGTTCGAAATTCTCACGAGATCATTTCAAAAGTTCGTCGAGAATGTAAAGTTAAATCTTTCACGATTTAGATGGAATTGGACTAACCATTGGATTGAAGATTGTAGCACAATATTTAAGTATCTCCCTTAAGTAGGGATAATTACACTTTTGGTCCCTATACTTGCCACCTAAAATATTTTTGTCCTCAAATAATTGTCACCACTAATAATTTAGTCCTAAAACTTACCACTTTTTACAATTTTAGTTGGCCGTCAAATTTTCCAGTTTAGGTTGGATGGAATCATCACGTGCGCCTCATGTGACGTCCACTTGGCACCCTACAAATGAAATTGAACTAAACTCCTTCCACTTCATCCTTACCTTTTTCTCTCCCCGTAATATTTAATGCTTGATTTCAGTTAGTAGGTTTGAAATCTGATCCCCTTTTCTAATTTCCCAAACATTAAATATGTTATTTCCTCCACCACCGTCCGCCGCCTTCCACCACCTCTCCACCACCCTCCTCTGTCACATCTTCTAAAATAAAATAACAAGAAAAGCAGGAAAAGAAAAAGAAAAAATGGCACCCATTGATCCTTACTCCTACACAGACTCAACCCCACCCACTCGCAAATTACATCTCCCTCAACAGGATAATGAGAACCTTCATAGTTGTAGTATTTCTACTTCTCAGTGGCAAAACAAAGGGGAAAAAACCTCCACCACCAGGGTACTAATGTAAACCCGACGTTGAAATCAAAACCATCACCACAAGAGCTTCTACTAAGTTTTTATGTTACGACAAACAACTTGAGATGAAATCAAATCTGTAAATTGGGAAATTACTAAATTCAAAGTTTAGAGATTGCAACTTTGAGAAATTTACTAAAATCAAAGGTTAATAATGTACGATTGTAATGTTCCATATCCACAAATATTTTAAAATTTGTCAAATTCGGGTTGGGTGATTTTGGTGTTGTCTTAAATCCCCTCAATTTGAGGGTGTCCAGTGTGGTTTTTGTTGAAACGGAATTAGAGGGAATCAGGGAATTAGGGTATAGAAATTGGGTGAAATTGCTAAATGGACTGAGTGTGTGTTCCAGCTGGATTTTTTATTGCCACTTGGGCATCACCTTAGGTGTACATGACATTTTCGTCCAAATTAATTCGAAAAGTTTACGGCCGAAATGAAAGTGTTAAAATGTCGTATGATGAGGATATATTTCGTAAACTTAAAAGTTTGAGAACTAAAATCGTTTTAGGTGGAAAGTACAGGGACCAAATATATATATATATATATATATATATATATATATATATATATATATATATATATATATATATATATGCTTCTAGGCAAACCTCATGGCTGTCTCTGCACCCCTACCTCCTTTATCACTGAGCAATCATTTAGGGGCCTTAGCTGGTGATCCGGGCTGTTTCCCTCTATATATATATATATATATATATATATATATATATATATATATATATATATATATATATATATATATATATATATATATGTGTGTGTGTGTGTGTGTGTGTCAACATTTTATATGAAGGGTAAATTAGGGCCACCCATGTGGTAAGGTCAAATTATAAAAAAAATCTCTTATGTTTGGGTAATTACAACGACCCCGTCAACTATGAATCTTCTTACACGTCCACCAGATGGGTACCAAATTTAGTGGAATCTTCTATAATATGTGGAATATTTTTCCGTTTGTACCCGTTTTATCCCATTCGAGCTCCACATTTTGAAACAAGATGATCATAAGATGTGTCTCTTAACTTGTAAATATCATATTCCGGTGCATCAAAAACATTATTTTGCACAAAACGAGTACAAATTTGAGAACATTTCACGGATTCTAGAAGATCATGTTGAATTTGACACCATAAGGGAAGAGATGTAAGAAAATTCAAAATTTAGGGGGTGATTGTAATTATATAAACAACATGCATTTTTTCGTAATTTGACCTTATCATGTGAGTGTGGTCCTAATTTACCATTTACATCGAATTATAGATTGGAAAGGAGAAATGGTTAAATACAGAATGTCAGAAATATGATTTGAAAGACGAGATATAATTAGGGCTTTTGTTAGCCAATCAAAATTGGGCAATCAATTCTTTTTCATTCTTTATCATACTATTTGAACACCTTTAGTAAAAATTCTGATTAGTTACGTATCTTGTGTATGATTAGTTATGCAGAACGAGGAAAAGATTGTTGACAACAACAGTAAACACATTTGAGTGGTTAAAAAAAAAACAAAAAAGGTTCCTGAAAATCAGATTACTGATATTTTGCATGGCAGTTGACAACTGTCATATCTTGGCAGCTGCCTCGGTGTATCACATGCTTTGGTTTTAGGGTTTTTTTGTACTCTTTCTCCACAAACTGTTGCTATATAACACAGTCCCATCTATCAGTCCTCTCTACCACAAAAACTCAACCTACAATGGAGTCCTCAAAGATCTTAGCCCTTTTTCTCATTTCCATCCTCTCCGTTTCAGCCTCCGCCTCTCGCATTATCGAAAAAGATTGCGGCTCGTGTTCCCAGCCGCCTAAAACCCCTTCCGTTAAGCCCCCTTCCACTACACCGAAGCTCCCCGTTCCACCGGTCACTGTCCCTAAATTGCCCGTCCCGCCGGTCTCAATTCCCAAATTGCCCATCCCACCCGTCACTGTCCCGAAACTGCCCATCCCACCGGTTACAGTCCCAAAACTGCCCGTGCCGCCAGTAACCGTTCCTAAACTACCCCTCCCACCAGTAGCTGTTCCTAAACTACCCCTCCCACCAGTAGCTGTCCCTAAACTGCCCCTGCCGCCAGTAGCGGTGCCAAAACTGCCACTCCCACCCGTAGCCGTGCCAAAACTGCCATTGCCGCCAGTGGCAATCCCCAAACTGCCATTGCCGCCGGTCGGAATCCCTCCAGTGCTCAACCCACCATCCACCGGAAAGGCCTGCCCACCACCGCCAGGGAAAGGGAAAGCAGCCAGCTGCCCGATCGACACACTGAAGTTGGGTGCATGTGTGGATCTTCTAGGTGGGCTGGTCCACATTGGATTGGGCGATCCGGCTGTGAATGAATGCTGCCCGATAATATCGGGGCTTGTTGAGGCTGAAGCTGCAGCATGCTTGTGCACAACTCTTAAAGTTAAAGCCCTAAATCTCAAATTATATGTCCCTATTGCTCTTCAGCTCCTTGTCTCCTGTGGAAAGACACCACCTCCCGGCTACGAATGCTCTATCTAGATTCCACTTTGGTAATCATCATTTTTTCTCTCACATATGTATACATTATTTGGCTATTATGCGCATGAAATACTTATTACATCATTGTAATAATTATAATTTTTTTTTGGTTATGCAGGTTTGCTAGCTAGATGGATTGAAGAATCCAAATCGACATGAGAGGATGTCGGGCTCGCATGCATGGGTTTCGTTTTCGTTATTTGTTTGTTGTCTTCCAATCCTTCATTTTTTTTTTCTTGCTGGAATTAATAGTTGATGTTTGCGTTTGTTCGGTCAACACCATTTCATTGTGTAAAAGTTTGTCATATTCATGTATTGTTTGTTGATGAGAAAGCAGTATAATTAATCAAAAATGATTCTAGATGAAACACATGCAAACTTGAGTTCATCTATCTTAATTTATTTGTTGAAAATTATAATAGTTGGAGATTGGATGCTATGATCCACGAGCTTAGTACGAAATTGAGAATGATTGTCGAGCGCAATTTACTAAGCAAAGTTCAGAAAGACTAATGTTATGGTTCTGATCTACAGACACTTAGATGAAACTATTGTTTGGACTATATTCATGAGTAGAGAATCCCCAGATATTATGGTGTATACTCGCTAATCATTTTCATCATCAAAAGACTATACTCTTGCCTGAAGTAAGGACAAGTAGATTCTATTATGGCTTATGTAAAATCGGAATTAGTCTTAAAAAAATAGACAAATGCGATATATGTGTTGGATCTAGGCATTGGTGGGGCACATGTAGTGCAATAAGCGTTGTTGTTGTAGATGTAAATAATAATGCACCAGCATATACTAGTATGATAAAGATCAATATTCTCAATGTGGAGTTCGTTGCTCAACTTCCATACTTGGGGCACATCTGACCAAATAAATCATATTAGAATATGATGGGAGTACTGATTTCTGAAATATGCATTATGATCATTTTTTTGTCTTTAGTTTATTAGTTTATTGGATCTAAATCATCTTATTTCATATTCTCTTGTTATGAACCATATTCGAACTTGGATTATATTTAGTTTATGCTATAGACTATATTCTTACGTGACTATATATTCTAAATAAATTATTATAGTATTCTTTGGTGTTTATTTAACTTGCTGAATTTTATTTAGTACCTAAAGTGCTAAATATATATGACTAGAAAGATCCCTGTATTGTAAAATTCACGTAGGAAAGGTCCCCCTCCTATTTAAGTTAGTGAGAACACCTTTAGATCTTAGTTAGGCTAAGAAATAGAAGTAAACTACTAATACTACCTTTAATTTACTAATACTACCTTTAATGATTTATATCTTATTAACCATAACTTTTTACTTCTATCTCTTCTCTCTCTTTTCTCTCAATCTGAAAATCGTTCCTTCTCTTCCAACTTTCTTCTCTCTATCCTCATTTTCTTGTCTTCTCCATTTATTACTGTCTTGGCCTGCAATATTACTGTCTCCAACAGTAATATTACTGTCTGAGACACTAATTTACTGTATTTATTCATTTTATCGTCTTGGCCGGCAATTTTGCTGTATTCGACCGTAATATTACTGTCTCATGCAGTAATATTACTTTTTGGGAAAATAATATTTAGTGATATTAATGTTAGGGACAATAATATTTAGTAATAGTACTGTTTGGGACAGTAATATTACTGTTTCGGCATTCACTATTACTGTCTTAGACAATAATTTTGTTGTTAATAAGGTAATCTAGAGAGATAAAAAAAAGTTTGGAAAAGCAAAAGTCAACGTCGGAATCTTGCCGGAAAAAATATTTCAGAGAAAAAGTCTAAAAAAGTATTCTTTCAAAAAATTATGAAAATGAGGGTTAATGTTACATAGTTGTTCAAATATGGGATCAATGTGCAATATTGATGATGTTAGAATATAATATATGAAACTGATAGAAATTATATAAGAGTTATTTTAGACAAAAGACATGGAGGTCATTTGCCAGACTGTTTTTTATGTTAACGTATATGCAGTTAAGTCACTTGTCATAGGCCTATTTGGCATTTGCCCCTCAAAATATAAAGTACTTTTATTATGTGTTTGTTTTTTTTATTTTTTTCATTATATTAAATATAAATTTGAACACCCTCTGTAAAAATTCCGAGTTCACCACCTCCAGCGTGCATCCAACAGTTATATATATCTTATGTTACATGCATGATTAGTTAAGCAGGAGAGGGTAACCAAAAAAAGAAAAAGAAAAAAAAGGCTCCCAGAAAGATTACTGAATTTGCATGGCAGTTGACAACTAGCATATTTTGGAAGCTGCCTCGGTGTAGAGTCACATGCTTCGGTTTTAGGGTTTTTTTTGTATTCTTTCTCCACTTACTGTTACTATTTAACACAGTCCCATCTATTACTCTTCTGTACCACCGAAACTCAACCAACAATAATAATGGAGTACTCCTCAAAGATGTTAGCTCTCTTTCTCATTTCCATGCTCTCCGTTTCAGCCTCCGCCTCTCGCATTATCGAAAAAGACTGTGCCCCTAAAACCCCCTCCGTAAAACCCCCTTCCACTATCCCTAAGCTGCCCGTTCCACCTGTCACTATCCCTAAGCTGCCCGTTCCACCCGTCTCAATTCCCAAATTGCCCCTCCCACCGGTCTCAATTCCCAAACTACCCCTCCCACCCGTAGCTGTCCCTAAACTGCCCCTCCCACCAGTAGCTGTCCCAAAACTGCCCCTCCCACCAGTAGCAGTGCCGAAACTGCCCCTCCCACCAGTCACATTGCCCAATCTGCCATTGCCGCCAGTGGCAATCCCCAAACTGCCCCTCCCACCAGTTGGAATCCCTCCAGTGCTGGACCCACCAACCACCGGAACAGCCTGCCCGCCGCCACCCGGGAAAGCGTCAGAAAGCTGCCCGATAGACACACTGAAGCTGGGTGCATGCGTGGATCTTCTAGGTGGGCTGGTCCACATTGGATTGGGAGATCCAGCTGTGAATGAATGCTGCCCGATAATATCGGGGCTTGTCGAGGCTGAAGCTGCAGTATGCTTGTGCACAACTCTTAAAATCAAAGCCCTAAACCTCAAATTATATGTCCCTATTGCTCTTCAGCTTCTCGTCACCTGTGGAAAGTCACCACCTCCTGGCTACGAATGCTCTATCTAGATTCCACTTGGGTAATTCATTAATTTTTCTCCCACATTTGTATACATAATTTGGCTATTATGCGCATGAAATACTTATTACATCATTGTAATAATTATACGTTTTTTATTTTTGTTATGCTAGTTTGCTAGCTAGATGGATTGAAGAATCCAAATCGACATGAGAGGATGTCGGGCTCGCATGCATGGGTTTCGTTTTCGTTATTTGCTTGTTCTCTTCCGATTCTTCATTTTTTATTTTGAATTTATTTATTTTTCTTGTTGGAATTAATTGATGATGTTTGCCATTGTTTGGTCGACACCATTTGATTGTGTAAAATTATGTCATATTACTCATGTATTGTTTAACTCGTTGAAGAGAAAAAAAGCAATTAATCAAAAATATTGATGTCTTATTTAATTTTTCGGTTTTAGCTATTCATTTTCTAGTCTTTCTAAGAGTACGTTTAGATGTACGTAAGGTGTTGCTAAAATTAGGTAATTGCATTATATTATATTGCGCCATCAATAGTTCATCGAGAAATAAATAAATGGGTCGGACTTGACACAATCATCAATATTATGTCGCAAATGACAATATTCCGGAAAAATGATGATATTTTTTCAAATGCTAATTGTATTTCGGATAAGGGTACTAACTAATCAAGGCACATACATACCAGAACTCAAGCAGTAAGCTTAACCGTAAACTTAAGCTTGGTAATAAAAGAAATCTAATGCAATCTCCGAAATGATATTTCATCCATATAAGGCATAGTAATAATATCATGACATTATAAGAAATTGGAGATGGAACGCCACAAAATTAACGAAGGGTGATCATTCAGACCAGACAGCCCGATAAAAGACAATAATACGATTCCACTAAAAAACTGACACCTGGACATATCAGAGCTAAAGTACAAGATTCCCCCATCATATATCGTAGATTTGTTTTAGCAATATAATATCTCCTGCCAATTAATTACTTGTATTACTCCTGCTATCATCATGGTCTCCTTTCTCGGATGCTCCGCGGCGGCTCTATTCACCGGAAAAAATAACCTACCTATTTTACCAATTGTTATTGTACAATCAGCCTTGATAAAAAAAGTTGGGTGTTGAACCACAAAAAATGTTCCTAATTATGCGGGCGAGCTATGAACGAAACTCAAACGAAAGTCACAGAAGTGAAACATGTTATTTTAAGAGGCTTATAATCGTGTACTGCTTTGACTGTGGGCATTAATGGAGGTATATGATTAAGAAGGTGAGTTTGAAGAAACTCTTTATGAGTTTAAGATGGGAATGATTTATTTTTTACATTTTTATTTCTCCTGCAACTTTGAATATATAGTTTCACTAGTTGAAAAATAATTTGATACTACAACCATTGACCGTAGCAAAAGGTACCAAATTCGTAGTAAAAAAACTTTTGCTACGCATTTGCTATGAATTTGCCCTTTAGCATATACGGGCGTGACAAAAACTTTGCTACGGTAAATGACCGTAGCAAATACATTTTTGCTACGATAAATCCTAACATTTACTACGACTGCAAGACTGTCCCATAGTTAAATGTACCTTTTGTTACGACTTTTTACGTAACAAACAAAATCGTAGTAAAAAGTCATTTTTCTACTAGGATTTTCTTCTTAACGATTGATCTGATGAACTCAATCGGTACACGCAGTATTGTATATTGTGAATTATTTAAACTAGTATAATTAGTTAATTTCATGTGTCACATCTTGAGTGGAAATCCGATTAAGATGAATTATAAACGGATCGTCCATGTTGAATTTATTCTCACTAAGGAATCCAAAATGAGCAAAACGCCTTCAATTTTTTCAATAACTTTAGATATATTAATATCATTAAATAAGAATTAATATAGATGTAATGCAGATACATACTACCACAGGGCGACTGAAACGTGTTACGCGGTAAACATCAGAAAATTAGACGATACACCTAGTTATTTACGTGGGATTGAATTTGAAATTTGAACCGTAAATCTAACTCCCCGTAAACATCTATCTCTCATCCACACATACAGGTATTGATATATGTATTCTTAATTAATGTATGGGTAAGGATCCATCCTCCATCCACACGTACCCACATGGATATTGATGATGCTAATTACTTAGATTACTTGGGGTAGTGTCGAAGATGAACTGGGAGAGCAAAGCGGATCAGTAGCTTGACAACTTGATGATCCTGAGGTACATGCGATCATAGAACACATAAACTAAGCCGGGGGTTGATCCGGCGGAAACCCCTCCGACGCTCAAATCAGACGTGCTGATCATAGAAATAGTCCAGAGAATACGTATTGTAGTATTGCTCAGTTAATCGGACCTACCTTAAGGAATGAGTTCAAACCTTTATTTATAGCTTAGTTGAGATTGTCGGGCCCAAACCTTACTTGAAGGTGATTGGGCCTTGGTGATAATGGTCTTCGATATTGGGCTCGTGGCCCAGTAGGTAAATAATTTGTAGGCCCATTGGGTTGGGCCAATTAGGCATATCATTAAGCCCCCCACTCTCGAGTCAATGTGGGGGTCATGTTGAAATGGGCGACATATCGTGTCGAGAGTAAAAATTGTAGTAGTCAATGGTGTGTGATAACGCGTTGGAGCGTGTGTCGGAGGGGCGTGAATGCGCGTTGGCGCGTAGCGCGACCAAGTTGTCGCGATGTAAGTTAATTGAGTCGTCGGTTTTGTCCCGCGACGATGTAGTAGCGAATTATCTCATCGTGGGAGTTGTCTCGTCGCGGGGTAATAGTGTTGATCGAGTTATCTCCTCGTGGGAGTTGTCTCGCGATAATGTAGTAGCACGGATCAAGTAATCTCCTCGTGGGAGTTGTCTCTGGGGTAATAGAGTTGATCGAGTTATGTCATCGTGGAAGTTGTCTCACGATAATGTAGTAGCACGAAGTTAGTATTCTCCTCGTGGGAGTTGTTATTTTTCGACATTGTCAATGTTTTGACGCGTTGCTTATATGTGTTTACATATAGCTTTGTGCATGATGTACTTGAGGAGGGGATCAGACTCTCAAGATTTTTTTTATATGGGGGTCGTGCCCCTTGTTAGACCTCGTGGGTCTTAAGTATGTTTGGACCGTGGCCACGTTTTAATGAATGACCCATCGAAAACAAGTAGATAAATTTGAGTAATCAAGCTGGCCAGGCTATATAGATTCTCATAATATCTCTAAGTGCTTCTAGGGTTGTAATCGTGCTAACTTGAGCTTGCGATTATATGGTGAATTTCGGGCGAGTTGTCTCCTCATGGGAGTTGTCTCGCGGTGAGTAATATTATCGAGCGAGGTGGTTGCACGTGAGAGTTGTCTTGCAACGGATTTGTAGTGTCGAGCGAGTTGGCTCCTCGTGGGAGTTGTCTCGCTGCGGGTTGTAGTATCGAGCGAGTTGACTCTTCGAGAGAGTTGTCTTGAGCGAAGTTGTATGAGCATTGGATGATGCGCGATTTAGGCGCGTGTGGATTGAGGTTGCTCTGAGCGAGTTGTCTCCTCGTGGGAGTTGTTTCGCAGCGAGTCTTATTATCGAGCGAGATGGTTGCACGTGGGAGTTGCCTTGCAACGGATTTGTAGTATCGAGCGAGTTAGCTCCTCGTGGGAGTTGTCCCGCTGCGGGTTGGGGTACCGAGCGAGTTGTCTCCTCGTGGGACTTATCTCGCTGTAGGTTGTAGTACCGAGCGAGTTGGCTCCTCGTGGGAGTAATCTCGCTGCGGGTCATAGGATGGAGCGAGTGGTCTCCTCGTAGGAGTTATCTCGCTGTGGGTTCGTAGGACCGAGCGAGTTGGCTCCTCGTGGGAGTTTCCTCGCTGCGGGTCGTAGGATGGAGCGAGTGGTCTCCTCGTAGGAGTTATCTCGCTGTGGGTTCGTAGGACCGAGCGAGTTGGCTCCTCGTGGGAGTTTCCTCGCTGCGGGTCGTAGGATGGAGCGAGTGGTCTCCTCGTAGGAGTTATCTCGATGTGGGTTCGTAGGACCGAGCGAGTTGGCTCCTCGTGGGAGTTTCCTCGCTGCGAGTCGTAGGATGGAGCGAGTGGTCTCCTCGTAGGAGTTATCTCGCTGTGGGTTCGTAGGACCGAGCGAGTTTTGCTCCTCGTGGGAGTTGTCTCGCGGTGGGTTATGAGACCCGATGGAGTTGGCTCCTCGTGGGAGTTATCTCGCTGCGGGTGGTAGTACTGAGCGAGTTGGCTCCTCGTGGAAGTTGTCTCGCAAGCCCCCCACTCTCGAGACGATGTGGGAGCCAAGTCGAAAAGGGTACTGGATCGTGTCGAGAGTAGATCAGTGCTGTGGTGTACCATTAATTATTGGCGTCATGTGGAGAAATAATAATTTTTATTTCTCCGGGAGAGAGCGTACGCGATTTGGTAAAGCGCGTTGGAGAGCTCGCGCAATTTGGTAAAGCGCGTTGAAATTCTCGTGCGATTTGGTGAAGCGAGTCAAAATCTACGCGTAATTTGGTGAAGAATAGACAAAGTTGCGCGCGATTTGATGGGAGCACGGAGTCCGAGGGCTCCTTGGAAAGCACGCGCGGTGCTTGCGCACGCTCCAATATTTTTTTTTTTTGACTGCTGACGCGCGCGCGCGTCAGCGCGTGTACTCCACGCGCGCGTGCGGTGCACGCACGCCTCCCCCTTTTTTTTTTTTTTTTTTTTTTTTTTTTTTTTTTTTTTTTTTTTTTTGCCGCGCGCGTGCTGTGCACGCGCGCCTCTTCCTGCTTTTTTTTTCTTTTGCTTTTGCTTTTGCTTTTGCTGACGCGTGCGTGCACTGCACGCGCGCCTCCTTTGATTTTTTTTCTTTCTTGTATTTTTCCTTCTTCTTTCTTCTTCTCTTTTTTCATCTTCTTCTTTTTTCTTCTATTTTTTCTTCTTCTTTCTTCTTTTCTGTTTTCTTCGTCTTCTTTTTTCTTCTTCTTTCTTCTTCTTTTTTTTTTTTTTCTTCTTCTTTCTTCTTCTCTTTTTTCATTCTCTTCTTTTTTCTTCTATTTTTTCATCTTCATCTTTTTTCTTTTTCTTTTTTATTTGGTTGATATTCACCCCCTTGGGGATGTTTTATTTTTTGAATAGGGATATTATCCTCGTTCCTTGAGATCGGATGTGCGCCCCCTTGGAGATGTTCTATTTTTTGAGTAGGGAGATTATCCTCGTTCCTTGAGATGGGATGTGCACCCCCTTGGGGATGTTCTATTTTTTGAGTAGGGAGATTATCCTCGTTCCTTGAGATGGGATGTGCACCCCCTTAGGGATGAAAGGTCAGTGGATGTACCACCCTTGAGATGAGATGCCCCACCTTGGCGATATATGGTGCCACTGATTCAGTGGCAACACGAGTTGAATCTTCCGTGATCATACGCTGAAGGTCTTCTTCGGTTATCTGAACCGTTCGAG